CTTTTCAGTGAATATAAACATAAATACAAATAAGTAATTCGTTCGATGGGTTTATGTTTTTTCTCATCATTTAAACAAGAAGATATTCTTAATTCAAATATTAAGAATGAAGATGTTTCACTGGTTGAGATCATGAGTCAGTTGAAGCTAGACTGTCATGGAAAACCAGGAAGCACTGGACGGTCGTCTTGTTCCATCGTGGGACCCCTCAGCAGTGAGCATCCACGACTCAGCCCCGCGGGATTCGGACCCAGGATCTATCAGTCTCAAGTGGGAGCGCTTAACCGCTAGACCGCTGAGCCGGCATCCAGTGGTGTTAATGTCTAACTTCAACTAATCCACGAAATTGAGCGACACATCCACCATTGTCATCAGTGAGTTACTATCTCACACCAGACCTAGTTGAACTCCACTGGTCATTGTTTAACATTATTGTGATTGGAGTAACAACATCTGACCCTGTTCATTATCGCTCAACTATTGATTCAAATCAAATATGTATTATCAGTATAGTACAGATAATTTATACAAAATAAACGATAATTCGACAATGGCACCTATATAACTTAAGACAGAAGAGGGAGGACAAAAAGTATACGACTCCATGTATTCGGAATTCAGATGATAATTGCAAAAATCATCAACATTTATCACAATGGCAATGCTTCAGAAAAATGATCATTATTTGGTAGAATATATGATAGCAGCCATGGTATGAATAAAGTACTCATTTGTTAGAAGTCTATGGAATAATTTAAACGAAAATCATAAAGTAAACTTGTTTTCCTTGAATTGATTGTGTTGTTATCATTCCTTAGTTAACTGATGCAGCATACAACTATTTTCGTTACAGCTCTTAATTTGGATAAGAGTTTGTATTATTATTCACGTTCTTCATCATTGTACAATCATTGAATTATTAACATACTTAAGTTACTAACAAAATATTTGGATTTTGAAGACACTTTTCGTTACCTATAGATATCAGTTGGGGTCCACTTAAAATCAGGGTAATACTAGGTCGTATTCTATCAAAAAAATCAATTTTCAAAATATGACATAACTAAATGATATTCATATCAGCACTAGTGACTGAATAGTTCGGAAATAGATTTTCCAACGTTCTAATGAGAAGTTACAACTTGTGGAGATCAATCATTTTGAGAACGAGAAGTTGACTCATAGGTGGCATATATTAAAAATTCATAAATTCTAAAATGTGAACTAATGAGTTACAACTCAACATATTTTAAGCTACTTTACTCACTGTAATACATCGAAACGATGGGTTCAATCCAATATGAAATCGTGGATTTCTGCTTCAAAAGAGTCCCCTAGATCTTAATAATTCTCCAATTTATGTTAGTCAGTGATAAAACCTTTCGTCAAATAGAACTGTTCTCCGCAAACTCCTTAACTAAACAAAATAAAATATTGTAAATTCCCAAAAGACAGGTGAGAAATTAATTCAGAATGAATGTTATGTTTCTTGACTATTACCTTTCAACAGGACTGCTATAAGACGTTATTCAGGTGAGAAATATTTATGGTTGACAAAAGTGATTTAAAGTATGGAGTTGTGGAGATTGTTGAATTCCATTGAAATCGTGAACCGATCAATGCCAGACAACTACTGAAAACCTAGAAGCACTGGAAAGTCGTTACCTTCCAGTATTGGACTCCTATTAAGAAGCTGTGGCCAATGAAATTCAATCGTGTCTAGTGTGAAGCAGTTACCCACCGAAGACAATGTAAGATGGTCGTGCAATATCGTGGATTGGTTGAAGTTAGACATTAATACTGTTTGAGCTCGGTTCAGTGGTCTAAAGATCAAAAGTTTGCTCACGAAACCGAAGGTCCCGGGTTCGAACCCCGCGTACGGGAGTCTTATACTAGGACGAATCAGCCATCCGGTACTTCTTGTTTCTCAATGGTAATCTAACACTGATCGATTCATGATCTTATTGGTCACATACATTGTGTTCAGTGCCTTTTCAACAATCCTTTAAAAAATCACTTTTAAAATGATCTTATCTATCAACTAAACATCTCTGTACTTCTTGCCAATGTGTAAATATTTTAATATCAAACCCGAAATAGCTCTATTTTTCAATGATAACCACTTCCGACAAGTGATTAGGACGTAGATAGTATTTTGTGAGAATAATATGATGTTCATTTTCTTTTCAGCATGACTCCTATATCCTAATGTCTCACTTTACTTGTAGTGAAGGAAGACTCGGTAAAGATAACCAATCTATTGTTTAGTCTAAATTTCAGAAAGCTTTTATAAAATATGATAACCATACGTAAAATACATCATTTGCCCATTTTCCTTCAGTTGTCCTTTAAATGCTTCATGATTCTTTCAATTCTATTTTCATTAAAATGACTCTCTATTTACATTCCTGTTCTCTTCAATTTGATCTTCTCAATCTTCTACTGACAGGCATTCTACTTATAATTGGTTTTACATACTACTTATATCTGTCAACATAAGTAGCATACAGCATATACCTAATTTTAATTTTGTCATAAAATACCTAAATTGACCAGCTTAGCGAGTTTAATATTAAAAATTGTTATTCGGGTTAATATGTTCAATTAGTAAACAGATCAGTTTTCATGAGATGATATCGACATTTGTTGAACCATGAAACTGTATTACTAATCCATGAACTAGAATCTGATTATTATTACTATTATTATTTTGATTAAGTTATTATGTAGCATATTCATTAGGGTTTTAAAAGGATTTATTTAAATATTAGTTCAGTAGACCTCAGCCATAGAAATACCTACCATAAAATAATGCAATATTAATGGTAACTGAACTTTAATCTTCTTAAAACGATTGTCTACATTAAGGAACATTTTAAGGTCAAATGATATTTGAATCCGATTAAGTATCAATGGAGTTCACAGGCAGTGATTATGATTATTTCATGTAAATTAGAAGTGATATGGTCGCACAAACTAAGATGACGGACTGTTTGTCTGCCTGTCTTTACTGACAAACTGTCTGAATTTGCCACATCCATGCGTATTAGCCAATTCAATTGCTCCTTGGAGCCAGTTATATAGAGCGTACAATTCAACAAGTCCGTCATCACATACCACACTACCACCCGTCTTGGTTGGTCAAAGGACAGGTAAAAGTGATTTTTAGGTCGAAGGCTCCAGGTACTGCCCCCTGAGAAAACTACTTGCCTTGGTTTGGGCACCCGGGTAGTATTCCAGCCCCCACACAAATTGAATGATGAATTGTGGTGCATATATATTTGGTACTACCTTGTACCAATGTTTATGTATTTAAATAAATAAATAAAGTAATACATGTGTTGCCTTAAAAAGTTCCGTAACCGGTGTCAAATAGTTTTTTATACGAAAACTCTGTAAAAGGAGGTCAAGAATCTACAAATAAATACCTAGAGTAAACACCTGTTCAAGTAAACATGAGTGTTTATCCTAAGTTGATTTTTTTTCAGGCTTTAGAAAAAAAATTAGCCTAATTGTTAACGTTCCTTAGTGTAATACTGGGTGACGGTTCGACTCTCAGCAGGGAGTATTAGTTCCCTCAAGTTTGCAGATCCCCCACCTGATGATGAGTGCCAATTAGCACGAAGTAAATACTTAGGGCCTCTCACCCACTCTCTCCACACATCTGACATCCATATATGGTATGTGAAATTTCGAACCGCCCAGACTAGTAACTATTGTAACTGGATCAAAATATTTCTACAGTTTAACTGAACAAGACTGATTGATACCGATCGATATAAGTGTGTAGGTAAGACTACGGATGAATAATTTATTACGAACACACTGATCAGCAACCATGTAAACAATATAATGAGTTATATCAGATCTATTTAACTGATCAGTAGTCAAATTTAATACATTGAACTGGTTAGGATTCGGGATAAATTAATCAATAATTCAATGTATGTATACAATCTACAATATTAACAGACTATCTCCTTTAGGATACAAGTATAGCTAAATCACTGAGTTACATATTTACTCCTTCATAAAACTGACTACATTGTGGTTGGTCGAAACGATTAGATCAACAGTGAATTGTAAAACAACACCTCACTGGATACTTATGAGTGGTCCATCAATATACATAATTTTCCCTAATTATCCTATTATATATATATATATATATATATATATATATATATATATATATATATATATATATATATATATATATATATATATATATATATAAGTGAAGACAGTTCTATTGTATGGAGTTGAAACTCCGAGAACTACTACAATCATCATCAAAAAAGTGAAACCATTTACATACAGCTCTCCACTCAAAATCCTCCAGATCCGTTGACCAGACATTAGCAACAACAATCTACTGTGACAGAGAACAAAGCAGATTCCAGTTAAATAAGAAATTAGGAAAATAGGTGGTGACACATTGAAGAAATCATCAAACTAGATCACAATGCAAGCTTTAATTCGAAATCCTCAATATAAACTTGATAGAGATGGCCAATAGAACACATTACACAAAGAAATGGAAGCATATATCCAAAGAATAAATAGAACTTGACAATAACTGGAAAGAAGAGCCAAAAAACAGTGAGTTGGACATTGCTGATTGATAATCTATGCTCTATAAGGGTTAACAAACTTAAGTAAGTAATGTGTTAATAAAATTATATCTTGATTCAAAATTTTTAAAAAAATAATCTTAATTATTATACTGACCTGTTGTCAAAGTTACTTGTTCCATATTAATTAAATAATACGACATTAGTAAATCATGTGACCGTCGTTCAATAGTACACTAGATATGCGTGTTCAATGTTTTTTGTCGTTATTGTTGGTGGTGGGGGTGGTGGTGAGTGAATGAGAAAAAAACAACCAATAAAGCACTTACAAAAAATTTTTTTGTGTGATTTCGTTGGCAGTTTGTTTTTTTTTTGTTGTTGTTGTTGTTCTTGTCGTTAAATACTCGGAAATTTTCATTATCAGTTAGAAAAATAAATTCATATCAATAATGAGTTATTGTATAAAATTGACAAATAGTTGGATTATTATTTTAATTATTCTATGTATAGTCATGAATTTATTGATGTTATTAGCAACACAATTAGAATATCGTATACAAAATGGTTATCCAGTAAATCCTGGTGAATTTCCAATGATTGTATTATTACTTGGTAATACACATTTATGTACTGGAACAATTATAGCACCTGATAAAGTTTTAACAGCTGGACATTGTGCATGTGGTGATCCAACATATGAAGTAGGTAGGCAAGAATAAATTTTTTGTTGTTGTTTATTTATGGTTTATGATAAATATTTGTATAATGATTTTTAATATAATTGAATGAATGATAGTTACTAATGTATAAGATGAAATAATATCTTAACGATTAAACATTTAACTTTTAAACAATAGATAGGTGGCTAGCAATGGAATTCAGGATGCAGGTTTCGTCTTATTTGGAACTTGTCAGTTGGATGTACCTGCACCTCAGAGTTGATATTCATTTCGGGACTCGAACTCAAAATCATCACATTATCTCGACATAGCTACGGAGTGAATATCAATTCTGGGACCCAGATACATCTGTCTGTTGAGTTCTAAGTAGGACGGAACGTGCGTCCTGGATTCCACTACTAGCCACCATATGTCTCTACTTATAATGCTTGTAACTTAATGACGACATCGAGGCAATCCATACAGGATTTGCATATTCTAAAACAGACTGACCAATTGTAGTCGTAAGCATTAATCGGAAGATTCCGGCAACTAATACAAATAGATTCTACATCATGAATACTTGTTCTTCAGTAATAACAATCACGTAGATTATATTAGCTTACAAATTTCAACTACCCTTCTCCTAGATTTAGATAAGTGCCTTCTCCATACGATATAGCTGTAAAGTTGCTGGTCAATGCCATAGAGACCGTACAAAAACTATCTATAAATAGAAGTGTTAGATTTGCCCCTCGCCACTGTTTTATCTAGAATCGTCCCCATTGCTATGTTTGCGTATCGTTGCTGTTATTGTACATGTTTGGTCTGTGATCTTACTGCTTATATTTAACAATCAGGAATCACTGCAATTCCGATATCCTACTACTTATACTTTGAAGAGGGAACCACTTCAGCTACTACGGCTCAAAATAAAAACACGAAGGACTGGTGAGATGAATATTTCTCGGCTTTTCAAACTCACGTCGTCATTAGACCAAAATAAATATTTTTACCCACGCTTTATAATATATATATATATATATATATATATATATATATATATATATATATATATATATATATATATAACTTTGTATATTGGAGTGAAACCTGATGAAGGTTTGATTGAACGTAATGGTAGAAACTACTCAAACTAACAACGACTAGTTTGGAACTTCTCAGAAAATTACAGCAACAAAAATTATGCACAGAATGAGGTCAAAAGAAAGTTACAATTTTGTTTTAAGTACGATATAACTAAACTATTGAATTAACACTTAATGAACATTATTTTAACACTAGTTAATTTATCATCATACTGAAAAAAACTCCATAAATACACTTTCATCAGTGATAACCACCAACTAATGATTAACTTTAAAATGAATTTCTGAGCGTCTTACTAAAAAACTGTGACCCATGAAGTGATTAATATCGTGTATGAGACAGATATCTCAGATAATATTGAACGATGACTGCTTTGTTGCAAGTTGAAATTATAAACTATTGGATTCAAACTCATTTGTTCAATGCTATCTTGATTACTGGAAGACTTAAATATTCTCAATCTAATTGTACATGAGTTATGTGTATGCGTACACTAGGGAGAAATCTTGAACGAGGTCAAAAAATTTATTTATTCAATGCTTCAAAGATTTCATTAGTTAGATAGTCAATTTCAGTTGATGACAAAAAATATTGTATATATCCACTGTTTAAAGTAAATAACAATCTATTAGAATGAAATAATCCATTTATCTAGAAACTAAAATAGTAACTTGTAGATTATTTTACCGTTCTTACAGCTTTACTATGATTGTATTATATTTGAATGATATCTCGCCTCTATTTAAAACAAATCCATGACGATAGAAAAAGTTGTATGTATTGAATTTTAGTAATGTTGTACTGTCTAAACTAAGTACTTTGTATTTGACAAGTTTCTGTATCAATATTACATAACGGTGTCTTGGCGGGCTACGTGAATATCTGGGCTACCTGTTCCTCTCATCTAGATATCTCAACAAGTTATCTGTTTTCTTGTTTGCTTTAACATATCATTATGTCTATCAATCGCATAACCTATTCAGGTGCGTTTATGAAAAGTTTACAACCTTTCGCTGCACAAATTACAGAAAAGTATAATCAGCGACATTATGGTTGCTGGAAATATGTATTGAAAAGAATGAACATTATTCAGATGTCGATTCTTGAACTGCTAATATTTAATTGGCGACAAATCAGTATTTATCGCCAGGATCGATCAAGAAATAAGAAAAGGAAACTTGTCGAAATACTCTGTGCCGAGAATTCTATATTGCACCAAAAATATAATATTGAATAAAGCCATTAATAATAATAATAATAACTTGATTTTTAGGATAATCCCCTAACAATGAACTCAAAAACTGACCCTATCAATATACTACATTTTCATAGCGTTTTCACTATATTCCCCATGTCCCCGTCTATTCAATTCAACACCTCTATATCACTTTAGGTGATTACATAATTCTAGTTGGGTTCAATCTAAAATATGTCGAATAATATTAAATATTTGAAGGAATTTTAATTTTTACATTTGAATTCACGAGTCAGTCTAAGCTAAACCACCATTAAAAACCGGGAAGGACTGGGCGACCGTTTTGTCCTAGTATGAGACTTCCCGGTAGTGCACACCCACAAGCCTGCACGCAGAGTTCGAACCCAAGACCTTCGGTCTCGCGTGCAAATACTTAACCTCTAGACCATATTGAGCCAGCATCCAAAGGTGTTATTGTCTAACTTTAATCGATTTATGATCTTGTGTAATCCTTCGTCCATTGTCTGATATAGAGAGCTGTCTCATACCTGATACGGATTGGACTCCACTGGTTACGGCTCTTATTAGAACTCCAAGAAATCAATCTTGAATTGTAATTCTTTAGTAATAGATAAACATAAGTTTCAGCGTTTTACTTGATGACCAATTAGTTTCGTATAGATGTATTCATTATACTCAGTCACTACGTATTTAGTTGTAAAGCATTAGTTAGTAAACAGATCAGGTTAAAAATTATACGATTTCTAGTTAGCATCCAATATATATTTATAATCAGTTATTCGAAGACTATAAAACTATAGAACCTCTTCTACAATTAAGTTTGTTTACGATCATTTTGTCGAGCTCTTTTACTAACTTATTTGACAGACAGTGTTATTAGAACAGTAACAATTTGTCTATGTCTTTGTATTATTATTATTACTATCTTGTTTGTATGACATGTATTCTTGGTTACATGTGACAGCCTACTCATATATCTCTCTCTAGCTTAAATGTTAATCACTTAACTAACGCTCGATGAATCATTCGCTTTTCCATGTGTATATGTGCTTAAATCTAATTAATTGCCTTTCTTCGATCCGATTCGATTTGACTCTGAATCCACCTCTATACTCGGTTGCTCGCGCGCATTAGCCTTTCTGCTCAAATTCGCTTGGTGCGTTTGTAACTTTGTTATCTGAGATATCCGATTATAAACTGTGGTTGGTGCTTTCTGTTGCTTTCTAAATTTATACAGCATTGGGGTTTATTTAATAACAATTTTAGGGTGATTGACAAACGAAGCTTTAGGAATTATCTCGAAGCCATGCCACTATAGAACTAAAATGATAAATTCTACTTCTTTTCTTAATCTCTTCACTTAATTATTATTTTTCTCACTTTCAATTGATTGTTCACTGGGTAATGATCAATTTCATGTATGTCATTTCCTTCTTAATGCAGATCGAATCCTATCGACCAAGTTGCTATGTAACCACCAGTCTAGATGACTCGACATTGTGTACACTATGTTGCGATAAGATAATAATTGGAGGTAGTCATCAGGAAACCCTGTACCTAGGTTTCGTGATACTCATTGCCTTCTCGCGGCAGGCGTGTTGTTTACAACGTTGATCCACTGCCATGTGGATCAGACCATTAGGTCTTAGGTTCCGGGTGTTGCTTCCTAAGAAAACCACCTGCTTCGGTTTGGGCACCCGGGCAGTATTCTAGCTCTCACAAAAATCGAATGGTTTATGTGGTGCATAAATATTTAATACCACCTTGTACCAATATTTATGTGTTTAAATAAATAAATAAATAATAAATACTTGGCATTCGTCAACAAGTTGTACCTGTAATCTTAAGAGAACTGATACTCCCTGACGAATTCGTTCCCGTGTCACTCAGTTTCATAGTCAGAGACGTTACCATTGAGCCACGACTAACCTCCTATTTAAAACTGATTGATTTCACTTTCCTATAAATGGATCAATATGATTCAATATGAAAGATTCATCATGTAATATTGAAATATATTATATCTTATATAATGCACACTGCTGAGGAGTCCCATACTAGGACGAAACGGTTGTCCAGTGCTTCCAGGTTTTCCATGGTGGTTTAGCTTTAATCGACTCATGATTTCAACTTGTGAAATTTCTTATATATTTCTTTTATATATTTTAGGTTCATGCAAATTTAACACATATTGATGAACGATTTTCACCTTATACACAATTTCGATTCGGTACACAATTTAATTATCCTATCACTTATAAAAATCAATGTGATCAACTTAATCATGGTTTTATTGATAATCATGATGAATTTGGTGGTTCACCAGATATATCTATATTAACATTGAATAAAAAATTTAATCTTATGAAAGGATGGATTGAAATTGGTTCATTAAATTATAATTATTCAATAAATAATACAAAAGAAAAAAATGATGAGGATTTTTTTGTTTTGGGTTATGGTGAAGATAAATCAATGGAAAATTCAATAGGTCAATTACGTTTAGGTAAGTAACTAGTTCTCCCTTTCCTCTCTCCTCTCTCTCTTTCTCTGTTTCTTTCTTTCTCTCTTTTATATATATACATATATAACTATGTATAATTTTACTTATATAGGTATAATAAAATTAGGTGAATGTCCAAAACATATTAAAATACCAACAAATGGAGCAATTTGTTCTAATATTAATCGTAATCATCAAGGACCAGATGTTGGTGATAGTGGAGGTCCTATATTTGATATCAATGGACGTGTTATTGGTATTACATCAATAGCTGGAAATGGTTGGTATGTATTTTCAAGTGTTACTACACACAAAACATTTATTCAACAACATTTATATAATGATACTAATAATTCGACTAGTGATGGTAATAATAATAGTAATATTAATACACTGAAGTATTCCAATTCAACAGATCTTTCGTAATTTTCTTGCTCTTCTAAAGAGTTGACATTTTCTTTGAATAAAAATCTTCCTTTTTTTTCCCGAGTATGTGATGTGCGGAAATAGTTCATGATGATATAAATATAATATTTTTGTGTGTTGAAATTAAAACAAAATCTTATGGAAATTAATCTGGTATATATATTCTATTAATTTGTTTTTAGACTATTTTGTTAAGTTAAATACTTACTTACTTACTTATGCCTGTTAACCCTCATGAAGGAGGATAAACTGCCTACCAGGATTCTCCAATTGAATTTTGTCTTTGATATTTCTTTGCAGTTATTTTGATGTCTAACTTCATTTTTCAGCTCAATGTGTAACTTGGTATTCCTCTTCTCCATCCCCCCCTTAAGGATTTCGATTTAGGGGTTATCTTGTGATGCAGTTTTGGGATTTCCATAATGTATGTACTATGCAACTAAAACGTCTTTCCCTAATTTCGTCTTTAGCTGGAAGCTTTAAATATTTTCATTTTGATGTCTATTGGTTAATCCTCCACTATTAAGATTTAAACAATAAGATCATAGGAATTTTGAGAACTTTAGGTTTTTTATAGGCTGAATTCGTTACAGATCTATTATATTTGGAGTGCTGTTGAAAACCATGGGATTCTAACTAGCTTTTTTGTTCGTGTATGGAATTCCTCGGCAGTGAGCACACAAAAACCTGTCACTGCGGATTGAACGTAGGAAATTGAATTGTTAAGGTGAGTTCTTAACCTCCAGAATCCAGAGAAGTCTCATACTAGGACAAAACAGATGTCCAGTAGTTGTTTAGTAGATGTTCAGTAGTTGTCTAAGTAGAATTGATTCGTGATCATGATAAGATTCTGCTTATTCACTACGACTTATAGTTTACATCACAATCTTTATATGGTATAATCAATGAAGAATTTAGTCTGGTTCAAGTCAAGTTCATTTTCAGCCATCCCTATTTAATTTTGAACGTATATTATTAATTAGTCAACATGCAAGTTTTACTCTTTAATTGCTTAACGATTCCAAGAAAATGGTTGAATCAGATAATCGAACGCTTTGGAAATAGGTGTATAAATTCACCTCCAGACCGAATATTAAAATTATGAATGCTACTTTACAAAAATTGTATGAAATACTATCAAATCAGCTTTTCAGATTCTTAGGTAGCCCATCTAATTAACAGTCTAGTAGGACAAACATTTATGGACGACCTCAACGTGACGTTGAGAAAGTTCACCTTTCCAGTAGAATCTGAAGAAGACCACAATTTAGTATAAGAAGTCAGTATCGGGATTAAGAGTTAGAAGTTAGGTTTATAGATTAGAGTTGGGGGTTTTCATCACCAGCTAACATCAGCTATAATCCCAAAGTACTACTTAGGTTTAGGGATAAACTCTACATTGTGAAGTCATCCAAGTGTATCGTAGTCAGTAATTACGGTCATGTTTTCATTTATTCAGTGACTCAGTTGTCGATGTTTTAGAATAATTTCTATTATAGAATTAATTGGAGGTATAACTTTTGCTATGTTTTAATTTTTTTCTATCATGACTGACTGCACTACACCTTACATGTCCGCAGCATGGTGAAACGTCATTTTCATCGTAAAAAACTTTCCGTTGTGTGTGTGAGTCAACAAATACGACAACAAGTCAAACACTCTTTCCATCATGAATTACGATTGAGTAAATAAGAATTCCCGCTTCATTACGGTTGGTTGCCAGGTGCAAGGTCAAAATTGAGATTGAGTGTGGAGTTTATCCCCCACCCCTGTTTGAACATACGGACGAATGAATTCCGCGCCGAACTCTAAGACACGCTACCTTAAATCTGATTGGCACAATAACAGAAGGATGAAACTGTTTATTTGATACAATATATACTTTTAAGGTAATATGAAATAAAACACGAATTTTAGGGTAAAAGAAAATCGTTATATCATGACAAAATTGGGTTAAATGAACATAGATTGACATTTATCACTCTCTTGTACAGTATAGCATACTTGGTAAATAAATGAGTTTACTACATTGTGTGCTAAATTTTATTGTTTATATGACCTGAATCGACTTAGAACACTAAAACATAATGAATTGGAGTTAGATTATTATTCGAACGGAAATTATCATTTAAACTAGTTTTCATGATGAGCTGACAGCATTCATAAAAATTACAGAAAACAGTGAACACGAAATCACCGTTTCTTCCAATTCCTGGACAGTGTATATTCGTTAGTATGCACATATAACCCTATATACAATTAAACTGTTGGGGACGTTAGATCCCCAGAACTCACTTGGGAAAGGACTTAATTTTGTAATTTTATTTGGAAAATTTGAACTTCTTCGTTTTCGCGCCAAAGGCGCTCTTGTCACCTTCATGTCTTATTTCCCACTGGGAAATATCTTAAATGATGTTGGTCCGTCGCGTCTTTTAGTATGCTATTTGGTAACTCTCCCCAAGGACGGTTTTGTATTATATATATACGTTTTGAATTGTGTTTGTTGTGATCGCTCGTTTCTGGCTGTTTGCAGAATATGCTTCCACATTCCAAGCTTGGACTTCTCCCTCTAGTTAACGGGGCTGGGACGCATCAATAGCTAGTTTACTGGTCTTTGGTCACCCAGTCTTGTTTCTCGTTCGCAGATTAAGTGGACTCGCGATAGCTTCAACCCTAGCATTTAAAACCTATAATTAATATTCCGAACTTCTGTCAGCCTCTTGATTTTCAGTTATTTTCCAGTATGTATCACAGTTTGTGGTGTGAAACAATTTAAAAATGAATTCGTTGAATAAAATTGATCCGTATGAAAATTTAAAATTACCAACTGGTTACAGGATGAAGTGATAAGAATAAAGTGCTTCCCTCAGACAACCACTATCTGTAAAGACTATGTCTCCCTACAATGATCAACTTAGTTTAACTCTGAAACTAGCATGCCTTACCTTGCCCTACAGATCTTAAAATTACGAAGCAAATACATCGGAAACTACTCAAAAAATAACCACGGGTAACAGGCTCTGTAGTCTCGGTTTCAGGTTGTTAACTCAACTTATAACCCAGTTTTCCCTCAAAAAGCTTCTCGAAAAATCACACTTTCACGTTAAAGGTAACCGTGATATGATAACCGATTTCATACCTCTAATAGAACCTGAGATCACCTCGAGTTATTAGATATTAATCACAATCAGATTGTTAAACTTATAAGTTCTGACGGAATGTAACTATTAACTGAGATTTCCAGTCCATGAACTGATAAACGGTATATACTAACTTCAGTGATAAATCCTTGAAGATAATTGATAAGAAGTACGGATTAGCTCCAGTGGTCACGGCGGTCCGTGTCGTGTAGAAACAGGTGTCTACCTCAGTACAATGGAAGATGTTCGCGCAACTTCGTGGATTGGTTGACGTTAGACATTAACACCATTGTATGCCGGCTCAGTGGTCCAGTAGATTAGGCGTTCGCGCGCGAGACTGAAAGCCCTGGGTTCGAATCCTGGGAGCGGGATCGTGGATGCGCACTGCTGAGGAGTCCCATGCTAGTACGAAACGGCCGTCCAGTGCTTCCAGGTTTTCAATGTTGGTCTAACATCAATCGGTTCATGATCTCAATCAAGAACTCAACAATCTCCACAACCCCTAAACTGATGATAAAAAGTAGTTTATATTGTAAACCAGAGAAACTAGACCTATTGTCATATCTATCAAAAATATAGTTAAAGATTTGAACTTGGTCTCTTACAAGATGCTCAGTAGTTTGAGCTATTAATAAGCGTATTTTAGGAAGGATTAATGTCATAGCTCGGTAAATTAGTTACATTTCTTGGTTATAGAGGTTTAGTCTCATGATATCTTAAATTGTGTTCCTACAGTTAATCATTGACTGAAGTAACGTTTAATGCTACACAGTTTACACCTGACTGATCAGTGAGTTGTGATAAGTGTCATTTATGTCGAATCCTTCTTAGTGCTAATAGGATTCTACCCATTAAGTTACGACATGCTCATTAGTCTATGTGAATTGATATTGTATGCACTCTGTCCAGATGTACAGGTATGCCGTGCTGGCGGGTGGAACGAAATGTAGATTAATAGTCACCTATCAACTACCTCCAACCGCCTTACATCAATATGAAGTTGAAAGTTTTAAAAATCTGACTAATAACTGATGTAAATTGATACAGCGAGTAATAGCTCAGTTAAATGGAATGAGAATGATATATGAAACTAATTTTTTCAGTCGTGTGTGACATGTATTCATCACATCTTAAGAAGGATTATAGATGTTTAGTTGTATAATACTGTAAATTTGTGTTCGTATAGTAAGTCATTGAATTACTCGATTCAATTCATACAAATATGACTGTTAATCTTATTGTAAATCAATCATATAAATAGTGGTGTATTCCTAAGTTATTTCGATCTATTTTAAGAGTCAAACAAATCTTTCTCACTAATCTTCTACTCATTCCTCTTGTATTCAAGTTGCCATGTAGATTCAGCCTGAAATTAATTAGAAGAGTTCCAGTTTGAAGACTTATCATAAAGAAAATATATAAAAATCAATAGTATAAGCAATAGTTTTCAATCTATTTCCAATGAATAATAAACCTCTATCTATCATATTCCATACATAGAGCCATATCAGTTTTTGTTATCTCCCGATAAGAATAGTGAATGGTAATTCTTGGGATCCATTTAAGGACAAATACTATGAGTATATTTTTATCGTGTAATTGTTATGTAACTAAACTGTTCATATTCATGTCCCTCTTATTATGAGTTTTATTTTGACCTATGAACTATTATTATACGATTTACCATTCTTGAATTATTCCCTGTCTGTTAATCACTACCTCCCTCATTCACAGTCACTTTTGGCCAAATATTGTACAAATGTTGTTTCCTATTTTATGGTACGGTGTGGTCTGTCTGGTTGGTATATAAGCTCAGTATGTTTGAAATACATGATTCATATCACGGAGGCTGAGATTGGTGTTCTGGACTTAACTGGCTGGGCTAAGCGGAGAGCAGGACCAATCAGGACTCTAGGCTGCTCGCACGTGTTTTATGCGTCACTGGTTCGATCGATAGTTCGCTGCTCTCTAACTGGCAGTATCGTTGCGTTATACAATAAACAGGGCACACATATTCACAAGTTATAACAGTTTTCTATCCAGTTTTAAATTTTCATTGTCTCTCAAAAAAAAGATTCATTCAAACCAATTAAACTAGAATTTCGATGAATGTTTATTGTCTTTTTACCTTTATCAGAATGAGTTTTGTGGAGATTTTAGTAAATTTCACAGGTTCAAATCATGAGTCAGTTGAAGGACCAAACGGCCGTCCAGTGCTTCCAGGTTTTCAATGGTGGTCTAGCTTCAACTGACTCATGATTTCAACCTGTGAAATTTACTAAAATCTCCACAAAACTCATTCTGATAATAATCAAC